CCACGGGAACCTCCACACCAGGATCCGGGGCCGAATCATCCTTCAAAGCCCCAGCCTCAAAAAAAAAGCCGGGGCAGCCGGCGCCTGACAGCTGGGTGGACAGCGCTTCGGATTTGTAGTCCTGAGGTTCCAGGTTCGATCTCTGGTGGAGGCGGAGACAAATGGGCAAAATGTTTCTTTCACCCTGATGCCCCCTGTTACTAGCAGTAAATAGGTACCTGGGAGTTAGACAGCTGGTACAGCCTGCTTCCTGGGGGATGTGTAACAAAAAGGAGGCTTGGTCGAGGACAGGGCCACGGGTACGCTAAGCCCGAAATCATCTCAAGATAACCTCAACAAGAGGAAGATAGCTGTAAAAACACTAAGGAAGGGGGCCCACTATTCAGACCCATACGCAATGACTGGGGGAACTGACTTGAATGTCTCCGTCGCTACCCCGGAAGAGGCATCCTGAGACTGCTCAAGTCTCAAAACCAGCTAAACCCCGCCCCCAACCCCAAAGCCCACAGACGCTTCGGAGCTGGAAGCTGGAGGGGGGACCTGAAAGCACAACAGCAGGGAAAGAACGAGGGGACGCAGACCAAACCAAGGCCGAAGCAACCCACACCCCAAAGTCCAGGTCTCTACAATCAAAACAGGGCAGCCTCGGGGCTTACTGGGGTAGCAAACAACCTAGCGCACTGCAGCAATCTAAACCAAGCACGCAACGCTAGAGCTGCCTGCACCCGGATAGAGTCATCAGCAGATAGGGTGAATTGAGTCACAAACAAGCAACAATGCTCCCAGGACTCCAGGTCAAAGGTGACACCGACCCAACAGGCAACTGGACAGGCAAAAACAATGAGTCGCCCTGAGACAAGGGGACAGAGCAACCCTCAATCTCGCACCAGGCGAGAGTAGACCCCAGGGGTCACATCCATCAGATCCGAGCGTCCTTGTGTGGTTTCCCAAGGCCCTTAGATCTGTATTTCTATGGGAAGCCCAAGTAGGGTACTGCTAACCTGCACTCAATACTACCAAACAAACTGCTAAAAGCTGAACCCCCAGGACGTGTCCACACACAAGGGCAAAGCAGGGGGTACCACCATACAAAGTAAACCCTAGTATAACAGCTAGGGAAACAGGGAAAGAGATACCAAGGCAGACCCCCACCAGGCAAAAAGAAAAAGAAAAAGAAAACCTGGCAAAAGGACAGCGTACCCAGAAGGAACAGAGCCGGCCATTGTTATAGGTGAAAACTAGCTGCACAGTACCCTACGCAAAAGTTTTGCACAGTACCAGTGCAAAACTACCACTTACCCCAAGGTAGACAAGGGTGGAAACCCCCCAAATCACTAGGGACAGTCAATCGCCGAGCAACAAAAGACCAACAGATGTAGGCCCAAGGTGACTTGTGGCAGAGAACCCCAAGCCTCAAGGGCAGTACTCGGGGCACTCAGGGAAGGTGATCCAAAGCACATGCAGCTGAACCAGAGGACAGCACAACACAAGAGTCTGGAGGTGGAGCCACATGACCATGCCGTATCACACTAGCCGAAGAACTGAGGTGTGGATCACCAATGAGGGGTCTGGGGCTCTTCCCTTCCCCCTCCCGGGTAGAGGGGAGCTGCACAGAGCCGCGGCGCGGCTCGTGTGATGTTTTGCTCGTTTGCTAGTTTTCATTTGGGGAATTTTGTCCACTCATTTGTCTATTTTCGTTGTTTTTAACCAGAATAGGGGTTTGTTTTGGGGTGCTTACCTTTCTGAGTACCTGTCCCGGTCAATGGCATATATAGAATGCTCCAAATCACATGTGCATTTCTATAGACCATTGCTCCTCGTGCCTCTGAGGGAGCTCAGGTTCTGGCCCATGGGCCCCGGTAGGCCTAGAACTCCACCCACATCAACTGGTGCCAAAGTTAGGGATACAGTATTCATATCAGCCTGGATAGCTCGGGGGAGCCAAAGGGGCTCTCCCCAGAAAAAATGCTAGGCCTCTTGTTGTCCCAACCCCACTATACAAAGTCCAGTTATGCTTCTACTGCATGGCATATCAAACAAATACTATTTCATTTTATTTCTTTGACTAATACATTATATTAGAGGAAGATAGGTTAGGTTAGGTTAGGATAGTTAAGGTTTGGTTAGGAGAGAGTAGTTTAAGCTAGGTTTAGCTACTTTGAACAGAACACAGGCAGATGCTTTTTTTTATTACTTATTTCTGTTTTTTCACATTTTACCTATTTAATTAAAAAACACCCATAATAGAAAAGCCTTTAACTCTAATATTACTACCATGATACCCAGATAATCAACTAAAACATTTTAAAATAGTTAAAAGTCAATCTTTTATCTTATTAGTATGCATGTAAAATCATACATTTTTACCTACTTGATCAAAAATCTGTGTTTGTTATTGTTTAACCACTGGACTGTGCCAACCGAGAAAACTCTTTTTCGTACCCATTCAAAATGTGTGCGTGGTTGGTTGTGTTTGAAATGACCTCTTAGGACCTCCAGTGAGAGGCAGCCATCTTGGAAAAATTTTCCAGAATGCCCAAGGGCTGCTGGCTGGGTTAGTACTGAGTGAGCAACCATGGGTGACGCACGCGCCTCTGGCTTTCAAACACTTGTTCAACATGGTATTGAAAGATCGCGCTCTGTAGGTGAAATTCGGACCTTATTGTTTGAAGAACATAAGGGTCATGATATTGGTGAAACTAGGTGCAATAAGGACCTAACATAAAGGTCAGATGCAAGTGATACAGCACCTATGAGGACGATACATTGAGCGTATCCAGTTGTAGCTCTGAGCGCCACCCTTGCCCACCTATGCCATCTCCAATTTATATAGATGATATATAGATGAATCATTTTCTGCATTCAGTGATGATGCATCTGATACAAGTAGCATAGATGAACAGTGTTAGCGGCTTCCATGGTGGTGTTTTCCATAGATATTTTCAAGAATAGCTGAATCTCTTCCAGAATGCATGAATCTCTTCCAGATTGACTGACACTCTTCGAGGTTAGCTGAATCTCTTCCAGTGTGGGACCTTACAAAGCGATCTTTTCAAGACTACTTTACAAATTTATCTTTTTCTATAATCTTTTCAATACTACTTTATCTTTACAAGCTTGGCTACATACCACCAACAAGTACTAAAGCCAAGAGTGTACTCGAGTGCATTATTTGCAAGCACACAGAACCAGGAAGCAAAAATTTATCTGTACCTGGTGCAACGAGAGCGAAGTCGCGCTGTGTACCATGGGACTACTTCGGTGATTATTACTCACTTCTGAAGTACCGAGTGTAATACAGTGTGTTACTGTGTAAATAGTGTGTGAAACTGTACATATTGTAATTTTGGTGAGTTTTTAACAAGTAATATTGCGACAAGAAACATTTATTGTGGACACATTACTGACACATGTATCACAGTTCCAAGGAACATTATGAACATTCTACTGTATACATATTGTAAAGGTCACAAATATGCATCATATACGATAAAAAACAAATAAAACAGCATTGGAAATACATAGAACAAATAACTGAAAATATATTTGTGGCAACTCGCGGTGCTTGAATGGTCAGCGCGACCGTCTCTGGGAGATTCACGCACGGGCGACCAGCCCCTGATAACGTCACAGTGCACCTTGTCCACGTACCCACCGCCAAAGTAAGTGGAATTTGGTATTTATTTTCACATGGACATGTTCAGGGAAGGGAATTTATCATTTTTCAAAGAAAAAATAATTTTTTGCAACACTTGATTTCATGTGCACAGGGGAAATGTTACAATAAACTAGGTGCATCACAGTGGTTAATGTGCGAGATCACATTACAGTAGACCAAAACCACCAGGTATATGACAGGTAAACACATCACTTCAGCAGGACTTTGATGTTTGGTCTTGAGACTGGTCTTAGATGTGAAGGAACAGGTTTGAGTATTCTGGGTGAAAGTGGAAGTTATGAAAGTTAACCATTAAAAACGACTGCAATAAATACTTCTTCCTGCAATCGTCACTCATGATGATCATAAAGACCCTGGCAGAGATCATTTCCACCCATACTAAGCAGCAATATTCCTAGTCATGTAATGCAGATGAATACTGCATTCAGTCCAGTTGAGTTTAATAACTGAATTTTGACCCATTAATTATAGCAAACAACAATACTGTTTTTATTCTGAACAGTATTATAGTAAAACAAGAACCAACAAAGGTGGTTTATTACAGAAAGGATTGTAAACAAAATTACTGATGTACTAGTTTATATAGATAGAGCTAAAGTTGAGATGTAGTAACTTTAGTTAGAATAAAAGGAGAAATTCACATGATACATATACAGTACTATACAAAAGGCAAAAGAGTTAGCCAAGCTGGGAAATAATGAAGCACTTATTGTGAGCAGCTGTTCATACTAGGTACCAGCATGCAAAAACAAAATTTGAGTGGTACCTCCTGAAGAAGCCTGGATGTAAGCAGCAGTAATATCTCCATGTGCAAGCGAAGCAGCACCTTGGCTATTTAGCACCATATTTGCCTCACAACTGCCTCAGTTCTGGTGTGATTCATGGTCTGCATCATTTACTGCAAGTTCAGTCTCAATCCAAAGTTAGTTTAACTATGCTTCTCCGTTATTAAAATATGATTTGTACTATAACTTGTCACTTCCGCTACAAAGGACTTGAAGCCTCTGAAAAACTTGCAGCTAATCTATCACTCAAACTCATATCTAATGTTGAATCATAACTAGTAAAACTATCGCTGACAATGTTTTGTGCAACCATCATCGCACCAATGTGAGTCCCATTGTGTCTGCAGGTGCTCTTATTAACTCGAGGCCATGTATTTGCTAGATCAGATTTTGACAATTCGTTAGCTAAACATCGACACCAAGGTTGTGAGTTACTCTTCTTAGGGGTGGATATCAGTAGCGGCTCCAAATGTATATGTGATTCATGAGATGAGTTTGACACAGTCAATTGATAGAAAGACAGCCTGCGGGCATACCTGAGCAGAGAATTGCCCATGCCAGAAGGAAGCGGACTGGAGGAAGTAGAACGTGACCCAGTGCCAGAGTGGATAGCGGAGTCAATCGAGATAGTCATTGGTGCATTGTGGAGGTCAGGTTCTTCTGCCAGTAGTCCAGAGGAGGACATAAGCTCCTCCTCCAAGTCCAACTCCAAAGATGAGTGATCTGGCAACAGCTGCTGTCTGTAAAATAATATAATAAAAAACATCAAATAGTGCTATGAAAACAAATACTGTAACCAATGGTAATAAAGATAGTGAACAAAGCATTAAAACTAGCATGCATATATAAATATCTCGTGTTATTACCCATTTGTAGCTACCAGAAGAGAACTTCCATTCACCTGGACTGTAGGACTGTATGGGTCTCGAACCGTGGACCCCACGTGTGTGAGGCCGTAGCACCATCAACTCTGCTATGAGTAGTCTTAAAAAGGAAAGTTTTGTTCCTTTTTTTCCTTTTTCCATTTTTCTTTTTGATGTGGAAGTCAGACGTTCCCACTGGTGGCAAGCTATACAGTAACTAGGGAATCACTTTATTCCACTTATGCTGGACGGTAGAGTGGTGCCCTCGCTTCATGCAGGTTGGTGTTCAATCCCTGACCATCCAATTGGTTGGACACCATTCCTTTTCCCTGTCCCACCACAAATCCTTATCCTGACCCCTTCCAAGTGCTATATCCCATCCCGATAGTACAGTCGGGTTCATTCTCGACGCACAATTGAGAATTCCGGGTTCAAATACTCAGCCTGTCCTGCAAACAAAGACCCAAAAGGGATTCCATGCACCTACTAAACCCCCTGTTTATGAATGAAAAACGGTTTACATATGACTCACAACTGATGACGTTCAAACACTTCCGGAACAAGTGCTTTAGTGACGAATTTTGTTCGAACCACAATGCTGTAAATGCTTCACCCACGTACTACAAATACAAATAATCACCAACAGAACCTAAACACCTAACCTAACCTAATCTATGCCTATATGTCTGAATGCGTCTGTGGGATCGACCGCTGGATGGAATGGACTCGAGTCGAGGACAAGTTGCGAATACCAGGCAGAACAGAAATGGTTGGGCAAATTTCCTTTCACCTAATGCCTCTATTCACCCAGCAGTGCGTACCCTGGAAACACAAACCGTAACTGTCTCTATTTTCCACTTGTTACAACTTGTAATAAAGTTGTTACATCTTGGCTTAACGTGTTTATGACGTATTAGTACGTTGTTACAACTTGCTATATTGGTGGTTAGTGTGGTGTTAAAGTGGTTGCTATATAAGTGGTTAGGAGGTGTTAAAACTTGTTTGAACGTTGTACCAACGTCGTAGTTTCGGTGTGTGTTTGGCGGGTAGGTACTCAGGAGATAGCTTGTTATGGGGTTGCATTCTGGGCATGGTCAGTAATTCGGCCTTGGAGGGGAGGGGGCGCCTCGATATAAGTCTACCGTGTATGAATACACTCTGGCTTCCTGTCCCCAGACAAAATGAATTATTATTATTAATTATATAGTCATAATGGCTTGGCACTTTTCCCTGATATTCTGGCTTCTTGTCACCCGACAAAATGAATGACTGTCTCCACTCGATTATCCAGATTACTGTATATGGGAAGGACCCCCAGCCGGATAATCACATGTTCCGGATAATGGTACTTTTTCAGCTCTTGAGTCCAAAAGTGACCATTTGCAACGATTTTTATACTACAAACAACAATTTGAATTGCCTTGCCACATATAATTATTAAATATTCAACTAGAAACCTTAACTTCCTCTTGTTGTTGTTCATCTTCTTGATTGATGCCACACATTGTAATGATCTGGTGCTCAGTTCATGGCTCTCCCCTCTCCCTTTTCTCCCCTCTCCCCTTGCCATCATTTGTCTCTCCCCTCCCTTTGGTCATCCCTCCCATTTGTCACAGTCCACCTTCACTGGTCATATCCCTGAGTCAAGAGGTTCGCTCTTGGCACTCTCCATTTCCCTCTCTACCACCCACTCATTTCCCTCTCCTCCTGCCTTTGCCACTAACCATTTGACAGTTTTAGGACCAGTGACGAATTACCGTAATTCTCAAGTTTTGAGTGAGGGAGCTGGGAGCCATATAACGGCTGTTGTTTCCTGTGTAGCGTGGGAACAGTTCATGATTCTACGGGAGTAGTTAAAGTTAAGTTAAGAAGTTAAGAAGTTAAGGCCTACGTAACGTGCCTGCCTGCCCCAAGTGGACCTGTCCAGGCCTGGTCAAGCTACGTGCTCCTGTCCCTCGTGCATACCACAGTGCCGAGCCATTAGTGAAATATTTTTTAAATAACATTTTTATTTTCATAGTAACTTTGAACATTTTTGGCCAAGACTATGTCTGGTAGCAGCATCAATCGTTCTAGAGGTGTTAGGAGGAAGAAGGCTGTCCTAACAATTAAAGACAAGTTACGTGTTATACACCTCAACCAGTGAGGCGTCACAGGCAAGCCAAATGCCTTCAACAAGTGAGGCTTCACAGGCAAGCCAAGCACCTTCAACAAGTGAGGTGCAAGCATGCGCCTTCAACAAGTGAGGCCTCACAGGCAACCCAAATGCCTTCAACCAGTGAGGCTTCAGCAGCTGGCAGTTAAAACTAACTTTGCTTAATGAACTGTACAGTAATTTTAAGTGTTAATTTTAGTGTTGTGTTAGTATAGATTACGTAAATTGTTAAGAATTCTTAACTTCAAGATGTGTGGCATCAATCAAGAAGACGAACACCAACAAGGTAAGTTGAGGTTTCTAGTTGAATATTTAATAATTATATGTGGCAAGGTAATTCAAATTATGTTGTTTGTAGTATAAAAAATAGTTGGAAATGGTCACTTTTGGACTCAGAGGTGAAAAAGTACCATTATCCAGAAAACGTGAATATCCGGCTGTGGGTCCTTCCCATAGAGTCCGAATAATCAAGTGGAGACAGTAATGACTTATTCTCAGGACTTTGAAGGTTATGGCTTTAAAAATACTCACCTTTTGCATGTTACTTTATATTCTTCAAAGCCTCCTAGTTCGGTAAAGCTGCAGGTTGGGAAGAGATTAACTCAAGTTTGACACAAGATAGTGATAAATATTTTGAAAGAGAATAAATACTACTACAGTACTATCAAAATCTTACTAGCTGACACAACTGCTAGCCCTCCAGCTAGCCCTCCAGCTAGCCCTCCAGCTAGCAACTAATCATATTTACCCAGTTGTGTTTACACTTTTAAATGCTATTTAATTAATATCAATAATAAATCATCTCCCAATTCTTGGGTATTAACTAGTACTACAGAGAGCTTCAAGGTAATTGAGGAAGCAATGTAAAACTAAGAGTAAGCTTTAGTGAAGCTGTACATTAATGAGGGGATAATAAGTGAGAGGGGGTGATAACAGGCTGTTACACTACTATGGAAACCTAACTATTAATTTACTCAATGTAACTAAGATAGGTGTGATGAATCTGTTCATCCATCTAATTGTGAATGGAACAATACTGCTAAGTTTAGAAAAAAAAGAAACATACAGCACTGCAATAGATATTTAGGGGATTCTTGCGTACCACTAGACTAGACCTCACATCATTAGGTGCTTTGAAATCTTCAACAATTTTCTGTTGAAAGTAGGATCATCAATAGCAATGTTTACAGAGTATGCTAAACTTATTTGAAGGATAAATATCAAAGAGGACTACATAATACTACAAGAGGACCTAGACAGGCTGCAGGTATGGGCAGACAAATGGCTACTCGAATTCCACTCATGATTCCTACTGATTTTCTCATCGATTTTTTCATTGATTCATCACGTCAATGTAATTTCTTTGTGCCTGGCTACTGGAGTTAATTTCTAACAAATGTAAAATACCGGTAATGAGCAAATCCACAAATCTACACGATCAACCATGTTGTGGCACAATTGACCAAGACGCAGCTGGGAACATCCCGTGCGTAGGTTCGAACCCTCATCATGGCCCTTGTGGATTTGTTCATGTGATATACAGTATCACGCTATTGTGATTTCTGTGCGTGTGTAAAATAATGAGGTTTGGAACAGGGAAGTGAAAGTCAGAAAAACCTATAGTATACGAGGTACATAAGTGCTTACCTAACAGTGACTATGGGAGAGTTAAGTTATAGCTCTTTATGCCATGCCTACTAGCCTTTATGTAAATAAGCTCGGAACAGAAGTGGTGGAAGCAACCACTATTCACAGCTTTACTATTAAGTACAACAGAATACAGGAATGTCAGGAAGTATAAATGCATCAAATACAATATTATATTGTATTAGATGTGTGTGTTGGGAATGGTTTTGTTTTGGGATAACCCCAGAATCTGTTGATGTAGATTTCTGAGGGAGTGCAAATTTCAATAATATCATGGTATGATTTGTTTATAATTAGTTATTCTTCAAATTGTTTTCATATCATCCTAATATTGTGATATAAATTGTGCCAATATCTGTATTGCTACTTATATGGTAAACTACACTTTGGTTTTCCAATATATGTCACCTTTCAAATTGTAAGCTAAATATTTTTCACTTTATGCTGAAATGGAAGTTTGATTTAAACTGATGTACATCTATTTAGCCATTGCCGTAATGATTTTTATAAGTTGTTACGAATAAAGTTTCTAGTGCTCATTCTGATATGAAGTGATGTTCTAGAGTTTGATACAAAATGAATGAACAATAATGGATATACAACACTGTCAGCAACTCCTCTTGTTATACCTATTATGAGAGTTAGGGTGGAAGACTTCATCATTTGGATCGTCTTGCGAGGGTCCATCTTCTTCAGCATACTGTTCAAAGCAGCCATGATCCCACTCCAGTGATGGCATCGTGTCATCCTAAGAGTATTAAAAAAAAATGATGAACATGGTCAGTAAACAAAATGGTGAAGGAGATAATGGTAATGTAAATAACTGTTTTTCATAATTTTTAAATAAACCTAGATAAAATTTGATCACAAATGATCAATGAAGGTATCCCTTTCTCTAGCCAGACTTGTCTCATTCATTCATTACTCTGTAAATATGGTGACCATGTCTCCCTTATTCTTCTCTCATTCCAAGATTCCAGGGAACCAACAAGTTGGACATCGGACGACAGCTAGCAGAAGCCCCCTGCATATATTCCACCCCTGCAGAATCAGTGAACAGCAGGAGTCAAAAAGGCGAAGACATTCTAAGAGCCAGGGCCCAAGCAGATTCTAAGGAGGAAGCAAGCACTGCCTGCTGACACGCGAGCTGGGAGGCATAAAACAGCGAGACAGCATCCTGCAGGATCGGCGCAAACAGCTTCAACAAGGCAGCCGACGCACGCGCCGGCAAGCCCAAGGCACCAGACCCAACGGCCCCAAGCACCTCTACATCCTCCTCAAGCCAATCCGAAGACAGCTCCAGGAGGGAAAAGAAACGCAAAGTCGAAACCAGCAAGCCATGGGCGCACAAGTCCCTCTCTGTTCGGCTTTCATTTGCATCTTTCTTACCTTGTGGGGTCTGTTTTGTTATGCCTACCTTTCTGGGTGCCTAACCCCAGTAGATGGCAGATAAGGTAAACCCCAAACCATAGTGGGGGGGGGGTTCAAGAGCCATTGCTCCCTGCACCTTTCTGAGGAGGCCAGGTTCTGGCTAGTGGTAAGTAGGCAGAACTCCATTGACTAAAGCCCCTGGTCTAATGTATCTAATGTATCTAATTAGCTTGATAGCCCCAAAGAGCTGAAAGGGGCTCCCCATAGAAAAGAAGGAGAAACTAAACAAAACAAAACAATAAGATATCCCTGCTTGGGGCCCATAGAATAGTAGGTTTAGGAGAAGGCTCAAAGGAAAATGTCAGTGATTTTAGAAGAATAAGAAAATATGAGAGACAAGAACCTCCCCTTTAGGGTGACATTTAATGGAGTGAAAAACATGATTGAAGTGTTTAGAAATGCCAGGAAATTACAGAGTGATGAGGTTGGCAAACTTTGGTCAATAAGACGAGACCTCTCAAAGGAAGAAAAGCCGAAAATTAATCTAATTGAAGCAAAACGTCTAACTGGAGATAGAAATGAAGAAGACAGAAATTCCTTTTTCTACAAAGTGTCAGGTACTGGAAAGCTTATGAAATGGTACATAAAAACAAGGCAACAAAATCATTAGTTGAAAGTGGAGTAAAGAGCAAAGGGAAAGGGAACATGTTCCTGAAAATTGTATATACCAACATAAATGGAGTGAGGTCAAAAACTTTGGAGTTGCAAGATATAATTCAGCTTAAGGTCCCAGATATTGTCACATTATCAAAGACAAAACTCGAAAGAAATATATTAAATGAAGTCGTATTCCCAAAGGGCTATTCAGTTTGGAGACATGACAGGAAAACTAGGAAGGGAGGAGGAGTGGCTGTGCTGGTGAAAAACACCTGAAAGTAAGAGAGTTAATATTTGAAAACCCTCAAGATATTGACATAATGGCATTGCAGGTCAGGAATCAGGATGATAAGCTGATAATTGTAAATGCCTACAGCCCACCAGCAAGCAACACATGGACAAAGGAAGAACTGGATGACAAACGAGAGGGCCTCATAATGGTCATGAGAGATATTATTGTACAAGCAGATAGATAAATCACGACTGTTGATACTGGGGGACTTCAACTTTAAAGCAATAGACTGGGAGGCCTATGAAGCAAGAATGGAGGACTTTTGGATATGCAGATTTGTGAACCTCATTCTGAAGACATTCTTGTATCAACACATCAAGCAGGCCACAAGAAAGAGGGAAGGAGATGTACCGTCAGTACTGGATCTAGTATTCACCAGGAAAGAAGAAGAAATATTTGACATCCAGTACCGTCCTCCCATGGGAAAGAGTGATCACTTCCTGTTAGACATTAAATATACTTTAAGATATCATCTAGAAGAAAAGGGGGACATTAAAACAGTTGATAAACTCAATTTAAAGAGAGGTCACTTTGGGAAACTTTGACAAAAATTTAACGAGTGTAATTGGACAGACTTCTTGTTAGGCAGGGAAGTAAATGAAATGTATCTAAAATTTTGCAAAATATACAATGAAGGCACACAAACATTCATACCAAAACAGAGATGCAGGGCCAGAAAACAGGATTGGTTCAACAGAAATTGCGAGAGGGCCAGAGACCAAAAGACACAAAAATGGACTCAATATAGGAAGAGGCCAAACTCCCAAACATACCAGCAATACAAAGATGCGAGAAACAACTACACGGCGGTAGCCGGTCAGCCGAGCGGACAGCACACTGAACTTGTGATCCTGTGGTCCCGGGTTTGATCCCAGGCGCCGGTGAGAAACAATGGGCAGAGTTTCTTTCACTCTATGCCCCTGTTACCTAGCAGTAAAATAGGTACCTGGGTGTTAGTCAGCTGTCACGGGCTGCTTCCTGGGGGTGGAGGCCCTGGTCGAGGACCGGGCCTCCGTCAAAAAGGACAAAACCGTCAGTTTCAAAGCGTTATATGACAGAGTGCTGGGTAGATGGGACACCACAAGCGTAGCTCTCATCATGTAGCTACACTTAGGTAATTACATAATTATAAAGGGTCATGACTTTTGTTATAAAATATACATTACCTGCAGAGATGCATGTGATAACTCGGCATCTTCAGATGGTGGTTCTGGTAGTCTGGAGAGGGAAAGAACACGCTTATTTGACCAGCCATGCTGTGGAGAATCCCATTCAAATGAGCCTTCAGCGTCTGAGCCTGAGATACCATGTCCTGGCAGCTGTGACGCATCAGCCCCAAATGCTTCCAAAGCTTCTGACTCTGATGATGTATTGGGTTTAGCATTTATGAGTCCCTTAAAACTTGCCCTTGAACGATGGGCATTGACAATCTCCATGGCCGAGTTAGGGCGTGAATCACCTGATGTAATGGAATAATCTGAGAAAGTAGTTTTGAAAGTATATGGGTTAGGTTTAGATGTAAACTTGTTGACTTTTTCATCCATTTCTAACATTGAACCTTTGACATCATCTAGCCCTTGCTCAATGTTATCAAACTTAGTGAACGTATTGTATGCCAAGTCGTCTCGTACTGAGACATCCAGAGACATCTCCGAGCACTCAGAAGGTGCAAAATCAGACAAATTAGAACAAACAGAATCTTCTCGCTTAAAGGGATTTTGCCTGGACCCGGTAGGTGAGGTGACAAGCTCAGATAAATTGGAAGTTATAGAATTATCACATGTAATTGATCCCCTTTGTGCTCTATTGCGTATTTTTTCCATAAGGTCACTGAGTGAAGCACTAGAGATGTTTGAACTTGGTTGTTCCTCTTCTCCTTCTGGTTGAACCCTAGCAAAGGATATAGAAAATTTACATAAAGAGCACATTAATTTATAATTAATCAAATGTTTTATGTCAATATTAAACAAATCTTAAAGCATGCCAGATTTGCTATAGGATACCAGTTAATTAAAATACACGCATATATAATCCATTTATATCTCATCTTTGTCAGACAAAATATGAGACACCTGAACACTCAAATGTAACTCAATCCTACTAACCTACTACCAGCACGCCAGTCTCCATTATCACATCCCACAGATTGGTGCGGTGTCATGTGCAGTAGACGTTTTCTCTTCTCAACCTATAAAATTACAACATTTTCAACATATGGCTAATATTCGCATTGCATCAATATCCAAAACAGCACTTAAAAAATATAAAAGGCCTCCTCATTGGAATAAATTCTATAAAAAAAACTACTGCATTATATAGTAATTATTTATTGACTGAAAGAGATATACAGTATATGGCTTGCAGGTCTTCTAGTGTGTGGTCTGGTCAACATATATGGCTTGTGTCACAATTCCTATGTCATATACACTAAAATACATATACTTCACAAATTGTTTTCACAAAATTGCATTATAAATAAGATTCACAAGCATATCACACTACTCATGTAAATAAATGAATCCTCTATTTTCTGAGTTATTTCACTTGGTTTCCTTCAAATAAGATTCCAATGTCACCTACTGAGCTGATCTTACACTCAAGAAGACACCTGTCACATTTGCATGTAACAAGTGTCATAGGGAATGTTTCACATTGCCCATAAAGGTCATACTAGTACTAAAATAAGGAGCAGTGAAGGAAATCAAGAAAAAGTGAGCTGTAGAAAGCTCAAATCATAAACCATAAGGCTTTACAAAATATCTTTGAAACATGTATCCTATTCATATTTTCATCATAAATGACTTGATTTGAAGAGGAGCATATACTGTAGTTACACCAGAATGGTAATTAATGTACTTGCAAAACAATGCTTGTAAAGCAACGATGCTTGTAAAGCGACCACGCTTGTAAAGCGACAACTCTTGTAAAGCGACAACTCTTGTAAAGCGACCACGCTTGTAAAGCGACCACGCTTGTAAAGCGACCACGCTTGTAAAGCGACAACGCTTGTAAAGCGACAACTCTTGTAAAGCAACAACTCTTGTAAAGCGACCACGCTTGTAAAGCGACCACGCTTGTAAAGCGACCACGCTTGTAAAGCGACCACGCTTGTAAAGGGACCACGCTTGTAAAGGGACCACGCTTGTAAAGTGACCACGCTTGTAAAGTGACCACGCTTGTAAAGCAACCACGCTTGTAAAGCGACCACGCTTGTAAAGCAACCACGCTTGTAAAGCAACCACGCTTGTAAAGCGACCACGCTTGTAAAGCGACCACGCTTGTAAAGCAACAACGCTTGTAAAGCGACAACGCTTGTGAACAGCAATAAAAGGGTCAAATGAAAGTAAGACGCCCTCAGTGGTTGTTCACTGTGCACAGTGATTCTCTCATCCATAAAGCTGTATACTGCAAGTTTCCTCTTACCATTTCCTCAGAGTCCGGAGTCTCCGATCCATCCCCTTGGTGGCGTGTGAGGTCTCTTTGAGGGGCTTGTCCAGGCAAAGAACATGTTACTTTGCCAGGGGATGATTCAGAAGATAACCATCCACCTTGGTGAGTATGGTTCACAGTTGGAGTAGTATTGAGGTTGTTAGATATTTGTCTGCCAAAGAAAACACAGTAAGAGCATAATAATCAATTTAGTTGTAATTTTTTGTATGTGGATCTTTACAGTGAAAACAAAAACAAATGATTGGATGAAACTGTGCTAATATTGTAATACAAATTTAAGGAAAATCCATTTTATTAGTCATTTATTAAAAAAAAAAAACACTGTAGAATGTGAAACGCCATTTTCTGGGTGAGATTCAGAGGCTCCCCGGAGTTATCCAGGTTGATATGTAACTGTTAGCTTTCTGGCATCAGTCAAAATGCATGGAGTTCTTGCCTACCAAGTACCATGAGCCTGAACCTGGCCTACAGAAACCCCCGTGTGGTTGGAAGCATTCCATGTCTGTCATCGACCAAGTCTGGCACCCAGAAAGATAGGCGCCCCAAAACAAACCCATATTCTGGTAAAAATATTGCTACTGAAAGCCGAATGAGTGGACAGAACTCCCCAAATGAAAACTAGCAAACTAGCATGACGTCATCACTTCGCTGCACTGCTGTTTGTGCAACCCCCCTTGCCCCCTGTGCCAGCGATCCAACCGGTAGTTCTTAGGCTGGATGTCAAAAACACGCAAAAACACTGCTGACTGGAGAGAGGGAGGAATGCCGGGGAGCCTCCGAATCTCCCCAAAAAAATGGCTTTTCATTACATTCCACGCTGGTTTTCTTGGGGAGAGCCCTGTCAGCTTCCCGGAGCTATCTCACTAAAGATAAGAAAAAAAGAGAGAAGGACCCAGGAGGTGGATGCCACGTGCCCTAACACAAAAAAAAATAAAAAACTGGCAAACCGAAGGACCCTGCAGACAACCTGGGAGACCCGAACCCCGGAAAAGAAGGAAGGGAACCCAGGTAATACAAAGTACCCCCCACGGCCACAGAGGCCAAGACGCGCAGAGAACAGCAGAGAGCCAAAACTAAACACAACATAAGAAGCACCGGCCCAACCAACCAAGCATCAAGAACCCAACGACGCCTCCGGAAAGCAGCACACCCAAGTACAATGCAACCTCGCTTCAATGTACCCCGATTCAACGAATCTCCGGCTAGATCGCACACTTTTCAGGCCGGATTTACTCACCCGGTTCAACGAACAATGGTTTGCTGAAGCAGAGGATGTATGGATTTGCTTACGACGTCGGGACAGAGTTCACAGACTGATGAAAAACTTTCCCATTCTATCACAGGTTACAGTTAATAATTCCTTCATATGACAAGTTGGATTACACAAGTGGACCACACAACAAGTGAACCATATGAATCAAACACCAGCCAGAATGGTCCACACAATAAGTGAGGCATATTAACCAAACACCAGCCAGAGTGGTCCACACAAGTGAACGATTGTGTTTCCATGATTTTCATTCACCGATTTGTGGCACATGTATCTTTGCAGATTAATTTAAAGGCTGAAGCATGAATAGCAAGATAATGTACTGAAATCTTCTTATATACATTTTCTGTGATGAAACAAGATGAGTGAGGGTGGACAGATAAGGGAATACTGTACTGTAAACATCACTTTACAGTGAGGTTTCACTCTCTTTCATCTGTGTCGTCATAGTTCAGTGAGCCATGACTTTGGAAGTTTCAGAATAAGTCATTTCTAAAACCGTTGTTTTAATAGCTCTTTATTATCCTAATTATACTAAACTAAATCAAACCAAAAATATACTAATATGACAGACATCTGCTATTTGAGAAATTATTCATGTTATTGGCGGCACAACTCCAGCCCGAGTGGACAGGTCTAATCTGTGTGCACACAACACCATGCGTGTTTTGTTCGATTTCGTCGCCACAGTTCAGTGACCTACGGCTTCGAAATAAATATAATCTAAAATAAATATAATATAAATAAATATAATAAATATAATAAATATAATATAAATATAATAAATATAATCAATTCAAAAATAAGTATTTTTTATGGCTCTTATTATCGTAATAATGTTGCTAAACTAATTATATAACCCAAATATATATTAATTTGATGGGAATCCAATATTTGAGAGCAGTTTATGTTGCTGGATCTGACTTAAACACCAGCCTACTGTAGGGGTGTAGAGACCTAGTCTGTGTTCGTGCAGTAGGCATCATGTGCCATTAGCTTTGTCTGCGAGTGATGTGTTTATCCGCCGGTGAAAGAATAATAATGGAATTTACCATTTTTTTACTACAGCTGTATTGTTATACAACAAGATGTCTCAAGGGCTTGCTAATAGTGCTTTATTAATGCCAAAAATGAAACAATATTTTGCAAGAACTAGCAGCAGAAAATCAACCAGCACAGCCATACCCAGCACAATACAGCCGTACCCAGCACGAGCACAGCTGTACCCAGCACGAGCACAGCCGTACCCAGCACGAGCACAGCCGTACCCAGCACGAGCACAGCTGTACCCAGCACGAGCACAGCTGTACCCAGCACGAGCACAGCTGTACCCAGCACGAGCACAGCCGTACCCAGCACGAGCACAGCTGTACCCAGCACGAGCACAGCCGTACCCAGCACGAGCACAGCTGTACCCAGCACGAGCACAGCTGTACCCAGCACGAGCACAGCTGTACCCAGCACGAGCTCAGCTGTACCCAGCATGAGCACAGCAGTACCAGCATAAGAACAGCCATACCCAGCACGAGCACAGCCACACCCAGCACTGGCACAACAGCAGCCAGCACCAGCTCAGAAGCAGCTGAAGCAAACACAGCAGCAGTGAGCACCAGCAAAGCTGGTGCAAACATCTAAGAACATCTCGTGTGGAGTGTACAGTTAGAATAAGTGTTAAATTTAAGTACATAGTGTTAGTGTTCAAATTAAGGTTGCAGTACAGTAATTTTAGTGTAAAATAGTTTTCATAAACTCTATTGTAGTCCTCAACATACAGCAGAACTACTTGTCAATACACTGCTAATGGCATAATACAGTACAGTATGTATTTACTGTGCAGCATTCACAACTCCATAAGAATTCAAGATGGACATAACTTCAACAGTAAGGTAAATAACAATGGTAACACAGTATTTTTTAGTAGAGTAGTAATATATAGGTAGTATATAATATGATAATGTATTTTTATTGTTTATAAGAAAAAATGACACTGACGCAAACGCCTCTTGAAGGTCACCTTTTGCAACGAATCCAACGATGCAACAAACCGGGGTTGGTCTCATATAGTGCATTGACAAGAGCTTGTACTGTATCACCAGAAAAGGAGACTGCTGCAAAAGAACAAACCTACCACCAGGACCAAACAGGCAGAAAACTTCTGCTCTGGAGAAGAGCAAAAAGTTCCCCGACCCAACCCCCAGAGGCCAACGCCAACAGGAAGAGAGACCTGGAAAAACAACCCAGAACAGAATTGACCACGATGAGCCAAAGAGAAGAGAGAAAGGAGATCACCCGGTCCAATGACCAGGACGGCACCGGAGGCGCATGAGAAGGCTGGAGGTGTGAAGCAACGCATGAGACAGCATGCAGAACGGGGCAGAAGGAACACCAATATCGAACGCAAGCTGGAGCGGCTCCGCCAGCACTGCACTGTACGAGACGAAAGTAACCGGCAGAAGATGACAGTCCTAGAACAACCACAAAAAGAAGGTCAAGACAACCCTATCAGATACCCTATCACTCTTTGGTATCTATCAGATACCGAAGTACACCTACGCAGTGATGGGAAACCAGGAAACCAGGAAACCAGGAAACCAGTGTTATGTGAATTTCCACCAGGAAACTTCACACAACTGCCGAGACAAAGCACGCACGTGGGAGGCCAATAACAAAGCCACCTGCGCCCATACAAGTGACGAGAAACTCGAGACAAAAATCCCAGACTTGAAGACTCGAGGAGAAGAATGAACCATCCTCGAACAGGACTGGACCGATCCGCAGACAGGTGGAGCCGCGGGAAAACCCTCGGGGTCGGACACCGAGTAAGCAGAGCCTTAAACCATAGCTAGGCCGGACACCAAGGAGCCAGAAGGACAACTCTCCCCTGGTATGACCCAGCAAGCCAGGACCTCAGATACCTCCGAACATGAACCGCCAGGAGAGCCAACCCTGAGAACTCAGCAGAATATTCACCCGAAGCGACCAGTCCCAAAAAAAAGCAAAGAACCGCAAGTAACCCCCCTGGTTCCGACAAAGAACCACTGAGGAACAGTCCAAAGAAGCCAGATCATCGACCCGCGAGCGACCCAAATCTTCTGGAGCAACATCCAAACAGCCACGAACACCCGCTCCGTGCTGTGCAAGAACAGATGAAGGCGGGAACACATGCAAAGCAGAGCCGCAGGGAAGAAGAGACAATGAAGTGGTCCGAGCGTTCCTCACAAGACCCAACCAAGACCGAACCCAAGAGGGAACCAGACAGGAATACCGCCAGTGCATCAGGCACCCGGTGAGCTGAGAAAGCAGACATGCGGACTGGCTGGGAGCCCAAACCAGCCAGTCATCGAGGTAGGCCAGAACCTGAACACCTAACAGACACATGCAGGTCACCACGACAAGTTTTGTGAAATATATGATAAAGGCACAAAAAAAATTTATACCAAAACAGAGATGCAGAACTAGGAAACAGGATTGGTTCAATAGAAATTGCGAGAGGGCTAGAGACCGAAAGACACAAAAATGGAATCAATACAGGAAGAGGCCGAACCCCCAAACATACCAGCGATACAAAGATGCGAGAAACAACTACACGGCAGTGAGGAGAGAGGCAGAAAGAAATTTTGAAGAAGGGATTGCGGACAAATGTAAAACAGAACCAGGTCTATTCTATAAATTCATAAACAACAAATTGCAGGTAAAGGATAATATTCAGAGGTTGAAAATGGGAAATACATTCACGGAAGATGAAAAGGAAATGTGTGAAACACTAAACGAAAAGTTCCAAAGTGTGTTTGTACAAAATGAAATCTTTAGGGAACCAGATACAATAAGAATTCCAGAGAACAACATAGAACACATAGAGGTGTCTAGAGACGAAGTGGAAA